GTTCATCAGCTTGCAGTCTGTTGCGATTCCGATGGAAAATCCTTGAAAAATAAAGATAAATTAGGATACTAAAGCCTTCAGCGAGAAGTTGTGGTATGACCCGTGGCTCGGCTGCTCCACCCACCGTATGACAAATATGCAAATTTACAAGCCCAAATCTGGCCGGTAATGCGAGGGCGCTTACACTGATGGCAATTCTGTTGGGATTTCGCAGTCATATGACTTTTGCGTCCACTCTTCGTTTACGCAATTATATTTATTTTTCAATAATTTTTCATCGGAATCGCAACAGACTGCAAGCAAGTCTAGACAAAGACAAGTCTATGGTCAAAACAAGACATGTTTAAATGATTTTGCATGCGATAAACACAATGCTTTATGTGCTTCTAATATAGTAATAAATACAGTATTTGTTTGTCATGCCTCCAATACCTTCAGCACACGGGAGTTCTTTCTAAGCTTTATTTGATATCAATTTTTCATGAAATGCAAGCCATGGCCGGAAGTCTGGAATCGCCCGTATTTCCCGCACGTAAATACACATTATAGTGATCTACGTTTATGCAACAAGAAGAACGAACGAGATTGAAAGCAGACTGAGGGGGTTTGAAAGACGCTGCCTCCGCCGCATCCTCAAGATCTGCTGGGAACAGCATGTCACCAACCGAGAAGTCTACAGGCGCACCTGCATCAATAGCATCACAGCTGAGGTGAAGCAGAGACACTGGAGATGGCTGGGGCATATGCCAAGAATGGGCAGAACCAGACACCCTCACGCTGCATTGAGATGGGCACCACCTGGGAAGAGAAAGAGAGGCAGGCCTCTGGGCACCTGGAGAAGGACTGTGGAGGAGTTGAAAGCATCAGGAAAGACCTGGAATGAAATAGGATGACTTGCACAGGACCGTGACGGCTGGAAGAGATTGTCGGCGCCTTATGCTCCACCCGAAGCGAAGAGGACTAACAACATAGCGTTTATGCATACAAGCAACACAGCAGTTCACATACTTCATACATCAAATACAGCAAGTTTGTGATATTAGTACACATGTTATTGGTTTCTTTTGTTTATGACGTTGAGCGAGTCTGAGTGATGTCGTCATGATATTGAATTATTTATCATGTTCTATATGGGTTTCACAACACGCATGAAATATGTTGACACGATTGTCTAACGAATTCGACGTAGCTTTTACTTATGATGAAGATATTAATTTCAGCAAATGAACCGACACGTATTAATTATTTTTTATGTGGTATGATTTATAATAATGTTATGTCTATTTTTTCCAAATTCCAGGCTGAAGATTTTGCCAGTAGGCAACGTATATTAACTGCAGCACGCCCAATAGCAGGAGCCGTTGTCAGGAAAAAGGAGAAGAAAAAGGGGGAAAAGAAATGTCTTTGCTAATACAATTTTAGACAAGACAGTGTCGACAACCAGAATCACTTCATACATATTTGAAGTTGAGTTGTTTTGTGAATTACACTCGTGAATGTCAATGGCAAATTTTAAGACAAATTCTGTGTTGTGTCTTTGTTATATTAGACCTTCTTTCTAAAAATAGTGTCGTATTTTAGTATACCACAGCTAACAAACTATGATGCGTTCTATCCCAAATGTTATCTTGTTGTTACAGTACACCTAACTAAAACTATCAAAGTGTGTTTTATTTTTGAATAGTTTAATAGTTTGTAAACTCACAAACAAGTATATTATTATACTATAATATAATATAATAAGTACATTATGTTTTACTACACCTACTAAAGTAGTTTTACTATATACTACAACTACCGCATGATGTTTTTGTTATTATACCATCAGTTGTAGCACAATCTGTACCGGACAAACTGGCAGTGGAGGGATCATATCACAAAGCCTTCTTTTATTATGTTTTCCTTAAATAGGTTTCTGAGTAAAATTTAAGTTTACACTGTATTACGATTCCTTTGATTGTATGATGTACAATAAACTATTCAATTAAACATTTTATTATTTTTACTGGCTGCTTTGCAAATTTACTCCAGCTTGACAACTACAATGTTTATTAATTCAAGTTCAACAAGACAATCAACATCCATATACATACATTTCAGAATTTGCATATGATGATTAGGAGCAACAACATATTTTCTATGATTTCGTCACGTTCTTCTCTAGGAGTTTACTATAAGTGGACGTTTCCATTCATATTGTATGAACAATATAAAAGATACCATCAACAGTAAAAACAAACGCCAACTTGTGACTAATAAGAACACCATGACTGATAAAAACTAAAGTCAACAAGCTATGCAATTGCCAGAAGAAAACGGCATGTCCACTGGACGGGAAGTGCCTGTCATACCACGCGGAAGTTGCGCGATTAGACAAACAAGCGAAATATATGTTGGACTTACTGGAAATGAATTCAAAACACTATACAGAAACCACACTGCCTCATTTCATAATCAGGCCTCTAAAAATGTGACAGAACTAAGCAAGCATGTTTAGTCACTCAAAGAAAAAATATTGAGCATCGAATAACATGGAAAATTCTTGCTCATAGTAGCCCGTTCAGTAGCTCCAGCATTTTATGTTTGAAGGAAATTTTTTTAGATCTCACCACTCTACACTAATTAAAAGAAATGAACTTGTATCATCATGCCAACACAGATCAAACGCCTTATTATGTAATACTTAAACCTGTATGGTTTTATTTTATTTAATATGTTAATTTGCGAAATTTATAATGAATGCTCATTGGTGCAGTGAATTATTAAACATAAAGCTCCTGATGAGTGAGGTACTTGTATCTTGCGAAACAGTGCTGTTGAGTTTCAATATTCATGTAGTTGTCTATCACCACATTTATCCGCTCTACATATACTTTGTATTATGTATTATGTACATGTACATATATATATATATATATATATATATATAAATAATAGTTTACCATATTTTTGTAATATCCCATAGTAACTAATACTTCAATAACTTTCAACGACAAGTTTATTAGGAAATATTTTTAAGATGGAAAATACAGACAAAAAATGTCTACATCGTTGGATAAACTTGTCCGCGATGGTGAGGACTTCATCGTTTAGATTTAAAGTATTCATTGAGCACATCTAATGCTTGGGAATCTTTACCATAATCCTGTATATGAAAGAAAATCATTTTCCCAATAAATTTGACTTTATCATAAAATGTTAAAATTGATTGGATAATCAAAAGTGGTTCTCAATCCCTTAAAACACTATTCAATCAATGAACTAAAACCAATCGAAATAGACTTCCTTCAGTGACTACAGATCAGAAATGAATGGAAGGTATCGAATGAAATTACTGGAGGTAAAACCTAATCGAATGAACCTGGAACAAAGCAATGTACAAAGTTATAACTGAAGTATTTTACCTTCACAACTACACAGCTGCTTGCTACAATCTTTCTTGCTTTTCCCTCTCTATCAATCTTGCATAGACCGGCCCATTCACCAAGCTTTTTATTGTCATCCACCTACAAATAGCAACACTTTGTATTAGGCCAGGAAAAAAAAATTCTGTTTCTCGTTTCATGGTAATTTTAAAATGGCAAGGCAAGGCAATTTTTTTTTTTTTAAATACTGAGCTAAAATGGAGGAAATTTAAGACAAGTGAGTACAAGCGCATTTCGGAATGCTGTAGAAGGAAAAAAACATCTGAGGTGCATCGTTCATAACTATGCGCGCGGGAACGAGAAACATTTTTTCCCCTCAGCCTTGCATATACAAGTTCAAGGAGGTTCATACTAAATTTCAAATTACTGTATGTGCTCTATTAGAAGCGCATTTAAAAAAAGTCATAAAAATATTACTTATTTTGACTATAGAACAATCTCTAATTTACGTAACTGCGTGCACTAATATTAGAGCAAATACGGTATGCCATTTTTTCTCCCATTCCTAAAGGCCATCAAATAAACAACTTTGGGAAGGGGGTGTATTTTCATAACATCCAAGTAAAAATTAGGAATAGACTAGAGATAAATTTGTACTCTTCTGATGAGATTTTTAAAAATGTGTGCATTTCCATTAATTTCTAACGTTTCAATAGAACAGTTACAGTGGTGAAATCACAATTTATGTTATAAAATGTACATACTTTGAGAAGGTTAATACCATGCTCTGCACACAGAGCTTCCACCAGCTTTACATACATTGGTTCATCACAGTTGTTGGCAAGAACACACAGATGAGCTTGTCGTCTGTAACATACAAGTAGAAAGAAATTCATCAGATAATCGCATCCTGAAACTAGAATTCTAGAACAAATTGTTAAATCATATCCAGACCTCAATCGCTTGAATAATTGTAGTAAATTCAGATTTTTCAAAAATATACTAAACTTAAGATGAATAAAAATTACATTAGGATGTATATGAAAAATGGTTGCCATTTATTGTTTTCTGTTAATTATCACATTTTTTAACTAACAAATCCAACAAATTTGAAATTCATGCACGTTCAACATACTTTTCACAATACAGAACATGACACAAAGCATCAAATTGTTTTAAATAGTTACATAACGGCATTGCGGTACTCCAACTGTAGATAGGGCAGAGGTGGGGGTAAGTTTGATTTACAAATTATTGATCCTTCATGTGGGCTGTGTGCTCAGGTGAAATGAATCATGGGATTATCATAATTTAAGGAGTACTTCATTTCTAAAACAGAGCAGAATTACTCAAATCACCAAAATGAGAGTGTAAACTCGTCACCCAACATTGAGAGCTCAGAAAATATGAACAGCGCCACCACACAAGTGAGCTAAGATTTAAAAATCTTTTGTTTTTAATGTATAGGTTTTGCACTACAATTTGTATCCAGGTGTAATAAAGTCACACAAATAACCTGTCAAAGAAATACTATTGCAAACTTTTTTTTATTAAATACCCAATTAAATATCTGGGAAAAAAAGAAAAAAGACTGTTATATACTGTCTTGCGGACATCTGTAAGTTATCTACAGGGGTATATACAATTGAATTGGGGAGCTAGAGGATTAAGGTAGCGAGAAGGGTTTTGTGACGTTTTTAAATAAAACATTCTCTGTCTGTTGTCTCGTTGAGAACAGTAATTTAGGTTATATATATCAAAAGACTAAGTATAGAGGTA